CGGAGCCTCGTGGCGAAGCTCATCTATCATTGATTCTTCACTAGTAAACACAAGATCTAGAATATTTGGGGTCTGTTTACCCCTAAAATGGGTTGGCTTGGTGATGTTCTGGATTAAAAATGAGTCTCGTACAGACTCCAAGAACAGGGATGCTGGGTGATTCTCATCTCTTGGAGAAGATTCATCTGCCCAGTCTATTTCTGGATGGTTAAAGTCACCAACGATCAACGTATGCGACCTGCTGAATGACATGCTCGGTAAAAGGCTGTTTAGTACTTTATTGTTATCAGAGGTGCTGTTAGGTGATCTGTAAATGACCCCTATGAGAAGGCTATCTTTGCCTTTTAGAGTAAGTTCACACCACACTGATTCTCTAGCTGTCTCTTATACACATCTAGATGTGTATAAGAGACAGCCATAAGAGGTTCTAACCCACAGAGCTACACCTCTACTGCACTGCTCTTCATTTAAGTTATGAAAACAATCAAAACCTGGCAGCTGAAATTCAACAGGTACAATTTTCCCCCGTGATTTTTAGGAAGTGTTTCTGTAATACAATACTGTAATGTCTCATATTTTAGGGTTGATAATGCCTGCAGTATGAAAATGCCAGATTTATTTGGGAAAGGCTTTAATGAACATCTACGACAAGGAAATATTCATTGTTGTCCATTTGGCTTCTGCAAATGAAAAATTAAATTTTTAGTACTAAAGTGGTGGATGCTTTGTGTGAAGCATTACAACAATTACGTACTATCGCTCTCGGAAACGACAAATGAAAATGTTTTAAATTTAAATTGTTGATGCAAAACATCGAATCTCAGTCACTAGAAAGACAAATATATTTTTAAAACGTGTTGAAGGAAGAATTGAAAGTTAATATGAGCTATCTTTAGCGTTTATAGGAATGTTCTTGTTACATGGGGACATCTGGCACTCAAATGCACATATAGGATGAAACGTTTAGAGATTGAACCAGTCGTAAATGAGAAGCCTCGATATATATACTATTTACTTTCACCTCTCGTGTCATATACCTTCTGTACTCGGGCTCTCCACTAGGGCCATTTGCTTTCACCTCTCGTGTCATATGATCTAGAACCTCTTACACGCGGGCTCTTCTCTGCGTTTTGTTGTGGCTAGAACCCGCATCACTCGCTTCTAGCTGCTAATGCGTAGCAGCTAGAAACGCGCTGCGCCTGAAGCTGGGCGAGAGGCCGATGAATATTTCCGACAATTCACTTTTCGGTGTCTCGTTGCGCTTACTAGTCTCGGCAGTCGCGTCTGTTCCACTGTGAACTTTGTTGAGGTTAGGACCTGAGACGGTCACAGGTGTTATTTATTTCTCAAGATACTAGAACTGGTGACGGGATTTATGGATCCAACGTTTTCGGTATGGGATGTTGATGCCTCATTGTTATGAAAATTCATTAGTTCAAAAACTGATTATTAAGATTGTTTCCAAAATGTTTTCGATGCATATATGGTGAATTTACTCTGCGTAGTCGTTAATAGTCGTGAAATTGTCAACAAAAAATGAGTAATAATTGAGAAAAAGTAAATCATTTGCCATTCTGCAGCGAAATTTTTCTTGAATGCCTACTCAGTCAATCAGGTCTTGATCGATCGACAGAGATTGATGTGGTTCGATCAAGAATATTGATGCATAATTCCTGCTCGATCGACGAAGGCAAACCCCCATTTGGATGGGGACTGTAAGGAGGCAATGTCGCGAGGCGCACCACCGATTAAAGAGGAGCATTCTATGCCGATTCAGTGCAGATCTTCAAAGTTTCTGCATCCGATAATTTGTTCCCAGAAGAAGTCGAATAATCTGCATCGAACGATGTCGAATCTACAGTAGTTGAAGCCGAATCTGCATTAATCGATGTCGAATCATCATTGATCTACGTCGAATCTACATTAATCGATGTCTAACCCATATTAATTTTTTTCAAATGCCCGGCAGTTGAGTTTGAACGTTTGTCGACTACGTGACAACAAATTTTAAAAACATTTTTTCTTTCTCTCTCCGAGATTACCGACACGTTACTCTTTACTATGACAAAACAGATTACAGTCTTAGCTATTGAACATTCACATCGTATATACGCTTGCGATATCAATTACAAACTAACAAATTCAATTACTAATGATGCAGAGAAGTTACAAGTAATTCACCACTAAAGGCTCTTACCGCATAAACATCGACGGCAGCTCCGAGATTCGAACGCGGGAATTTCGCGTCCGAGTTGACGCCTCAGTGCCCTTGCCCACCATGGCACCTTACCATTCTGAGCTCTATCAACTACATACTGTAACTGCAAAACGAATGGCTTGCAATCGTCAGGTAAATCGAGGAATAGCATCATTTGTGGTGGAACTGTTTAAAGATTATTCATTTATATTTATTTTCGAGGAATGAACGCAGTTTCTATTCATTCGAAAAAAAGAATTTTACTCGTATTGGATTGGGTAAAAATGTTCGTGATCAATACCGTTCAATAAAGGAAACACACAGGCGCTGTTTCTCTTGCCACTTTTTATCATTTTCGGGTAAGCTAAATGCCGTTACTTCCGTATTTCCTCAATTTATCTACAAGCTAGTTCTCTAGTTTATATAAATTTTAATATTAATTTTATAATAGAGCTGATCAATTTGTATCACAATTTATTTAAAAATTGAGGAAAATTTGTCATGATTCATGGAACACGCTACAAGAGCTGTATGAAAATGTTTTGAATATGAACTATGAAGAAGTTTATGATGGGATCTTTTTAAATATCGCTAAGTTATCAAGCAGTTTCTTCAAAATTAAGGTTTCTTTTCTATCATTTAACAAGATGCATGTGAAAAAACGTTTTCTTTACACTGCATCACATTAATGTATTTTTCTATTTGGTTGAATAGTCATTCCAACGAGTTTGTGCATGAATTTTTCGGTTTGCCGTGTAAAGTTGCCCACACTCATATCCTTCGATCTGTAACGATAAACACACAGTCGATATTTCGCCATGCATCTGCATAGATTGTTTAGGGAAATTCGACTTCCAAATCTCCGAGTGGTCGGATCTTCCGCGACATGCAGTAAACCACACTGATCGACATCGTTGCACACATTGGCGATTGACTGGGATATACTAGGAAGTATTCTATAAGATTTACGTAAATCAACGGTTATTGCTATCTGACGGTCGGAAACACCTTATTTTCTGAATATAATGTAGATAGTTCTAAGCTCGATCCCAAAATTAAACCCGTGATCATGGATAGTTTCAATTTATCTGACATTGATTCTATACGAATTTAAATGTCAAAATTCAACGACTTATATAATTACTGCGGTCTCTTGAAATTGTGAAATATTTTGACTCATTTATCTATAAAGGTGCGCAAATGAATTTAGGGAAGCCATGTGACGGATTATTTAGGGAAGCCAATGGATTATTCCCAATATTTCAATAATTTCTGCTCATTTCATGAAAGTTGTAGTTAATATTGAAGCCACAGAGAAGCAGCATTTTTCCGTTGTTCACATTGCAACGAAATTAACAAAGCTAAATTGCTCCATCAGAATTCGTTTAATAAGAATTTCAAGTATTAAAATGTTGAAAAGTTGTTAAAAAATGCATTAAATCAACCGTACATAAATTGAGACCCACGATTGTTGTTAATTGGAATCATTTTATGTCACACAGCACTTCCAAAAAAATGCATCGGAAAGTATTCAATATTGCATTAGTAACTCCCAGTGCGTCGGTAAATTTTCAAAGAATTGATAGCTGCAAGTAAAATCTTTAATTCGTTTGTTCCAATGTACCTATTAGTTATGTGGAAGTATAAAATGCTTCTTACATAATGACTGTTATAAATCAATTATGGGTTATGATTTTGAAAGTACTATCGCAGAAAATTATGATAAATCTTGAATATTTTCCACTTATTACATGAATATTATTTACACTATTACCTGCCTAAATTCCTCATTTCACGAAAGAAGATACCTTCTAACCTATGATTCGAGTTGCTTGATTCAAGAAAGTATTTTTCTTTCCATCCAAGGCACATATAAAAGAAATTTACCGTTGCATCTAAGTTTTGTCTCTCGATTCATGCAACCTAATGAGGAAAATTTTTGGAATACGAATTACGAGAACATTTTTATCAACCGCCACAGCAGAAACTCATTTCATTCACTCATGTTCTTATTTACGTCTTCGGGATCATCATTTGCAGCATGTCACTGGGTTGATTTAGTCAGAGAGTAAAGAATACACTCATAAAATGCAGCTAAATTTTACTAGTCATCTTTATAAACCACAAATCAATACATTAATCCAAAGAAAGTTAGATTTAAGCGGGTAATAGCCATCAACTGTCCATTTACTCGTCTTTATTTCGGAAGTACATGTCAATGAGTAAAATTTAGAGCAACACAGTTTTTAGGAGCAGGAAATCTAATCTAACTAATAAAGATTTTTAGTCATTTGATTAAAATGTTTTCTTAGAAAATTAAATTATCTGGCTATTAAGCGGCGTTAGCAAGGATCCAGTCCACAAAGTAGGATACCTCAGTGTAAACACCAGGATATCCAGCTTCGGCGCATCCTCTTCCCCACGAGACAATGCCGCAGAAGAATTCACCGCAGGTCATGGGGCCACCAGAGTCACCCTGACAGGAATCCTTGCCAGCTTCTCCAGCGCAGATCATGGAATCAATTATTGCTAGTGTTCCGTAACTGGCGCGGCAGTTGTCGTCACTGACAATTGGAACTGTCACCTTCTGGAGTGTGGCGGGGCTAACGCCGCCTTCCGTGAGAGTGCCCCAACCTGTCACCTGAGCCACTGCGCCGGAGAAGCTGGCAAGGATTCCTGTCAGGGTGACTCTGGTGGCCCCATGACCTGCGGTGAATTCTTCTGCGGCATTGTCTCATGGGGAAGAGGATGCGCCGAAGCAGGATATCCTGGTGTTTACACTGAGGTATCCTACTTTGTGGACTGGATCCTTGCTAACGCCGCTTAATAGCCGGATAATTAAATTGTCTAAGAAAACATTTGAACACTTGACCAAGAATCATTATTAATTATATTAGATTTCCTGCTCCTGAAATCTGTGTTGCTATAAATCTTTCTTATTGACATGAACATCCGAAATACAGACGAGTAGATTGACAGTAGATGGTTATTACCCGTCAAATCTAACTTTCTTCGGATTGATGCTTTGATTACTGTTTTATATAGATGACTAGTAAAAATTTGCCGCATTTATTGAGTGTATTTTTTACTCTCTGACTAAATCAACCCATTCACATGCTGCAAGTGAAGATCCCGACTACACAATAAATAACATGAGTGAATGAAATGAGTTTCTGCTTTGGCGGATGACAAAAATTTTTTCGTAATTCGTATTCCAAAAATTTTTCTCATTAGGTTGCAAGAATCGAGAGACAAAACTTAGATGCAACGGTAAATTTCAATTATAGATGCCTTGGATAGAAAGCAAATTACTTTCTTGAATCAAGCAACTCAAATCAAAGTTATCAAAGTTAGAAGGCATCTTCTTTCATGAAACGAGGAATGAAGGCAGGTTATATTATAAATTATTATTCATGTAGTCAGCGAAAAAACTAAATATCCAAACCCATAATTTATTTATAAAGTTCATATGCTGCATTAATCATTTACTACTTCCACATAACTAATAGGTACATTGGAGCAAACGAATTGAAGACTTTATTTGCAGCTTTTAATTCTTTGAAAAATTCCGGCGTACTTGAAGTTATTAATGCAATATTGAAAATTTGCCGATGAATTTTGTCGGAAGTGCTGTGTAACATAAATTGATTCCAATAAAGAACAATCATGGGTCTCAAGTTATGTATGGGTGATTTAATGAATTTTTAAACAACTTTTCGACATTTTAACGCTCGAAATTCGACATTTTAACGCTAGAATATTTTCTCAGGTCATCAAGAAAAATTTCGCTGCAAAATAACAAAAGATGTACTTATTCTCAAATAATATTCATTTTTGGCAGACCTTTTCACGACTATTTACGACTACGCTGAGTAAATTCGCCAAATATATATCTAAAACATTTTGGAGACAATCTCAATCGTCAGTTTTTGAACTGAAGAATCTTCATAACAATGAGGCATCATCAACATTCCATGCTAAAAACTTTGGATCCATAAATCCCATCACCAGTTATAGTATGTCAAGAAATAAATAACACAAGTGAGTGTCAAAGGTCCTAACCTCAACAAAGTGCTCAATGGAACAGACGCGACTGCCGAGTCCAGTAACCGCAACGAGACGCCGAGAAGTGAATTGTCGAGGATGTTCATCAGCCTCTTGCCCAGACGTGACGCAGCTAGAAGCGAGTGATGCGGGTTCTAGCCACAACAAAACGCAGAGAAGAGCCCGCGTAGAAGACGGTTCCAGATCATGTAACCCGAGAGATTAAAGCAAATGGCACGTGAGAAGAGCCTGAGTGCAGAAGGTTCCAGATCATAGGACACGAGAGGTGAAAGCAAATGCTATATATGTCGAGGCTTCTCATTTACGACTCGTTCAATCTTTAATCGTTTCATCCAATAGACGCATTTGAGTGCCAGATGCTCCTGTGTTACAAGAACATTCCTATAACTGCTTACGATCGCTCATGTTAACTTTCAGTTCTTCCGGCAGCACGTTTACAAAATATTTCCCTTCCTAGTGACTGAGATTCGGTAAGTTTTGTAGCAACAATTTAAAACATTTTTATTCGTCGTTTCCGATGACGATTGTACCTAATACAAATCTAATCATTTGCAATATTGTTGTTGTGCTCCACACAAAGCATCCATTAATTTATCGTTAGAAATTTAATTTTTTCATTTACAGAAGCAAAATGGACAACAATGAATATTTCCTTGTCGGTAAATGATCATCAAAGCCTTTCCCAAATAAATCTGGCATTTTCATACTGCAGGCATTATCAATCCTAAAATATGAGGTAAAAATCGACTGAGCTTTTGAAGCATATAACGGGGGAGTTGCTCATCAGTTGCTTATCTCTAAATATTAAAAAATATTTAATCATTTCAGTTAAATATTCATATATTTAACTGAAAATATTGAAATATTTAAATCTCTGTTGCTTCTCTATTAAATATCAAAAACAACTGTCATGAGAAGAATATCGTGATAAATTTCACTTATTTCAATGAATTTTAATGAATAAAAATTACCTCTTGATGAGCTTTAGATAAAATATTTTCCATTGGTACATACCTAAATGAATCAAAAGCTAATAGTCTAAACTTGATCTCAAAATTATCCCTATAAATATTACTTTCAAAATATAATTCACAGTAATTTCAAAAGCTTCATCTACAGTAATCGAAAAAATTTTTATTTAGCTGCAAAAAAATTTTTATCTGGGCTAAAACAGTTATTCACAAATAACTTAATAACGCAAACACTTAGCAAAACGTAAATCCGTACACTTCATCCCAGTGAAACTGTTGACCGGCGGTAGAGAACACGGACCAATATCTGCCATACTTAGCGAGAAACCCGCTATGGGCCCATGACCCGCAGTGGGCTCGCTGCTCCATGTTACCCTATATCAACCGTTTGCGGGAAAATGATGATCGATATAGGCATAGAATATTGTTGTTTAAATTTACCCACAAAATCAATTTCGTTACAATTGAAGCGATCCGTACCTGCAGAGGGTTATGTATTTTTCCAGCTCAGCAGAAACATGTTCAAAATTGCCAGGGAATTTATATTGAAAAGAATGTCAAAGAATATTGTCTATTTGTTTTAAGTGGATGAAATTGATGCGCATTTACATTCACTCCAAGGAAACTTGCACAGCGGATGTAAATTTTAGAATTTTCAATTAATTAGCAAAATAACTACTATTTCGGAGAATAATTAATGGTTGGACTGTCAACTTTTCATTTGCGCGTAAAAATATCAAAAAATATAAAAAATATCATTTGCGTGAAAAATATCATATATCATGGTCAGAAGTATTGAGATCACTTGATTGCTTGAATCTCAAGTTTATCAAGAATTCAAAAGCAAGGAAACAGCCAAAAAATTCTCCATTTCTTAAGAATGAAAACGTTTCGGAGTCAAGCTCCATCGTCAGTTCAAAACCTAAAACAAAAGTACAGACAATTAGCGAACGAAATTCACATTGAAGACCTTGAAATATAAATCGCCAAATGAAAACAAATACGAATGAAGTAAATATTAGCAGACAAACCTATCTATTTACCATTTCAAGGGGATATGAACTGTAGGTGGCATTTAAACTATGCTTTTGTTTAAAAATATACGGGGACTCTGAAATTCGCAGATCAGAAACACCGGTTGTGGAGGCTAAAATTTTAAAATCACTATCGGACACCCGGGGCGTTAATTGCACTGCTCGGCATCAACACGCATAGCTGAATGAGGGGGATGCGCAAGCAGGTTTCCTTTTCTAAAACTCCTTCCTTGGTGCTCCGCCAGCCTGGTATGAAGATTGCGAGATGTCATACCGAAATACGCAGATGTGCACTGCGACAACTATATTAATTAACTGGGGACGATCGCATAGGAACATGGAGTGTACATTCATACTTGAAAAACGAACCGATTTTAAAATTATTCACCAGCAATACATGGAAATTTACATTTGAGAGGTATTTAGCGAACAAACCATTCAACTCCTTAGACATAGACTCCGAAACAGGACCGAAGTAAGAAAATTAACAATAATTTGCATTCGCATTGCCACGTTCGGGAACAACCACAGAATATTTCTTAAATAAAAATTTCCTGATTTGAGCATATACAAATTGCGACGGAAACCCATTGAGTTAAAACGTACTGCGTAAAAATTCAAATTCGGAGGGCACAGTATGGAAGGTAGAGCAAATACGAAAGCTAAGGTTTATCAACATTTGAATTCAATTTAATTTGAAACGAAAAGAACATAAGCTGAAAAAGCTGGTGCTTAAGCCGGTAAACGTCGATTTTCGGAAACAGAAAACGGCCATTTGATTTTGTAACATTGCAATCAAGAAAAGAAAAACTATTGTTGGATTCAAGCTCCATGGTAAATTTTATAGACTTGTGTTTGAGATTCAGATAATCAAAGAAAAAGGCCTACACGAGAGGGATGCTTGAAAATTAAAAAAGTGCCATCGATGTATCGGTTATGGAATAGTGGCTTAAAATCAAGAGGACAATTGGCCAGCCATGTAGCCTCATGCAAACACATGAAAATTTTAGCAAAAGTAGGGCCGAGAGGAAGGCCCATGCCCAAACCATGAATTTTTCTATAAAATTTGCCAGCAAATAAAAAAAATGAGTTTAAAACAAATAATTCAAGGAGAGATTTAAAAAAGTTGCGTTTCAAAACTTATCCCGGTGCCCGATAGTGATTTTAGAATTTTAGCCTCCACAACCGGTGTTTCTTATCTGCGAATTTTACAGTCCCCGTATATTTTTAAACAAACGCCTAGTTTAAATGCCGCCTATAGTTCTTATCCCCTTGTAATTGTAAATAGACATATGTTTGTCTGCTAATATTACTTCATTCTTATAGGACTTAATTCAACAATTTATGTTTTAAGATATTCAATGTGAATTTAGTTTGCCAATTGTTCATACTTTTGTTTTAGGTTTTGAACTGGCGATGGAGCTGGACGGTGAAAAATTTTCATTCATAAGAAATGGTGAATTTTTTGGCTGCTTTCTTTGCTTTTAAATTATTGATAAACTAATGATCAGATTTATGGAACTTATAGAAGCCATGGAAAATGTCGCTAACGTATAATTCAGTAATTTTATTTATTAAAGACCAATGTGGATTATACGTTTTTAAATCAAATTAGTGGATTATATGCTAGCGACATTTTCCACGGCTTCTTCAAGTTCCATAAATCTGATCATGAGACTTTGGAGTTTCCTGCGGCACACATGCTAATTTTTCCCACGCAGTCACTATAAAACGTCACAGAATTTCTAGCACAGTACCTCTGTCGACAGCACTGGATCATCATGAAGGCTTCCATCCTCTTTATGCTGGTGGCTTCTGCCCTTGGTGAGTGAAGCAGCTCTGAGAAACAGCTGCCTTAGAAATAAACAAATTAATGAACTGAAATAAATAAATTATGATAATCAAGTGTGTAGGATGTTGACAAGATGGTACCAAATAATACATATAATATTTTAAATATTTAAAAATTCATTACCGCTCAAGTTTTATATTTTGTGGCTTTTCCGTTTTTAATTGCTTAACTTCACCTATCCATTAAACAGTAACTGATATTTCCGCAGCCGCTCCATCAACCATCCCTCGCTTCAGGAGAGGCCACCTCAGGATTGTTGGAGGCACGGAAACCACTCCGGGTGAGATCCCCTTCCAGGTGAGCTTCCAGGACACTTCCTTCGGCAACAACTTCCACTTCTGCGGGGCTTCTGTCTACACACCTGACACTATGATCTGCGCGGGGCACTGCGTCCACGGGGACAACTACGATAATCCTGAAAATTTGAGGGTATGCGGCATTGTCTCATGGGGAAAAGGATGCGCCGAAGCTGGACATCCTGGTGTTTACACTGAGGTATCCTACTTTGTGGACTGGATCCTTGCTAACGCCGCTTAATAGCCAGTTAATTTGATTTACTAAGAAAACATTTTAACACTTGACTAAGAATCATTATCAATTAGATTAAATTTCCTGCTCCTGAAAACTGCTTTGCTATAAATCTTCCTTATTGACATGAACTTTCGAAATAAAGACGCGTAGATGGAGTGGGACAGTAGATGGTTATTACCCATTTAAATCTAACTTACTTCGGATTGATGTATCGATTAAAGTGTTTTATATGGATGACTAGTAAAAGTTTGCAGCATTTATTGAGTATATTTTTTACTCTCTGACCAAATCAACCCATTCACATGCTGCAAATGAAGATCCCGACGACTTAAAAAAAGAAGAATATGAGTGAATGAAATGAGTTTATGCTTTGGTGGATGACAAAAATGTTCTCGTAATTCGTATTCCAAAGTTTTCCTCATTGGGTTGCTAGAATCGAGAGACAAAACTCAGATGCAACGGTAAATTTCAATTATAGATGCCATGGATAAAAAACAAATTACTTTCTTGAATCAAGCAAGTCAAATCAAAGTTAGAAGGCATCTCCTTTCATGAAACGAGGAATGAAGGCAGGTAATATTATAAATGATTATTCATATAGTCAGCGAAAAATCTAAATATCCAAACCCATAATTTATTCATATAATTCACTCTGCATTAATCATTTACTACTTCCACATAAATAATAAGTACTTTGGAGCAAACGAATTAAAGACTTTGTTTGCAACTCCTAATACTCTGAAAAATTTTCGGTGTACCGGACGTTATTAAAGCAATATTCAAAATTTGCTGATGAATTTTGCCTAAATTTCTGTGTAACATCAATTTATTCCAATAAAGAACAATCATGGGTCTCAAGTTATGTATGGGTGATTTAATGAATTTTTTAACAACTCTTCCACAATTTAACACTCAAAATTTTTGTTAAACGAATTCTGTTGAAGTAATTTACTCCTGTTATATGATTTTCGTAGCAATCTAATCATCTGAAAAAAGCTGGTTATTTGTGGTTTCAATATTAAATCTGTAAACTACTGTCATGAAATCAGCAGAAATGAGGGAAATTGGTGGGAATAATCCATTTCTTATCGTCACTGAGCTTCACTAAATTAATTTTCGCACCTATTTAGAGAAACGAGTAAAAATATTTCACCATTTCACCATTTTTTCTAGAGACCACGGTTATTATATTAGTCATTGAATTTTGGCATTTAAATTCGGCTAGAATCAATTTCGTATAAATTGAAACTATTGAGGATCGAGTTATGAACTGTCTACATTATATTTAAAAGATAAGGTGTATCCGACCGTCATATCGCAATAACCATTGGTTTTACGTAAATATTATAGAATATTTTCTCAGGTCATCAAGAAAAATTTCGCTGCAAAATAGCAAAATATGTACTTATTCTCATATAATATTCATTTTTTGGCAGACCTTTTCACGACTATTTACGACTACGCGGAGTAAATTCACCAAATATATATCTAAAACATTTTGGAGACAATCTCAATCATCAGTTTTTGAACTGATGAATCTTCATAACAATGAGGCATCAACATTCCATGCCAAAAACTTTGGATCCATAAATCCCATCGCCAGTTATAGTATGCAAGAAATAAATAAAACAAGTGAGTGTCAAAGGTCCTAACCTCAACAAAGTGCTCAATGGAACATACGTGACTGCCGAGTCTACTAACCGCAACGAGACGCCGAGAAGTGAATTGTCGGGGATGTTCATCGGCCTCTTGCCCAGACGTGACGCAGCTATAGTAGCAGCTAGAATCGAGTGATACGGGGTCTAGCCACAACAAAACGTAGAGAAGAGCCCGCGTAGAAGACTGTTCCAGATCATATAACCCGTGAGATTAAAGCAAATGGCACGTGAAAAGAGCCTGAGTGCAGAAGGTTCCAGATCATAGGACACGAGAGTTGAAAGCAAATGCTATATATGTCAAGGCTTCTCATTTACGACTCGTTCAATCTTCAAACGTTTCATCCTATAGACGCATTTGAGTTCCAGATGCTCCCGTGTTACAAGATGCTGGTGTTACATTTGAGTGCCAGATGCTCCCGTGTTACAAATCATACTCCCGTGTTACAAGAACATTACTAAAACTGCTTACGATCGCTCATGTTAACTTTCAGTTCTTCCAGCAGCACGTTTACAAATTATTTCTCCAACTAGTGACTGAGATTCGTTAAGTTTTGCAGCAACAATTTCAAACATTTTTGATCATCGTTTCCGATAGCGATTGTACCTAATACAAATTTAATCATTTGCAATATTGTTGTTATGCTCCACACAAAGCATCCACTGCTTAATCGTTAGAAATTTAATTTTTTCATTTGCAGAAGCAAAATGGACAACAATGAATGTTTCCTTGTCGGTAGATGGTCATCAAACCCTTTCCCAAATAAATCTGGCACTTTCATACTGCAGGCATTATCAATCCTAAAATATGAGGTAGAAGTCGACTGAGCTTTTGACGCAAATAACGGGGGAGTTGCTCCTCAGTTGCTTCTCTCTAAATATTAAAAAATATTTAATCAGTTCAGTTAAATATTCATATATTTAACTGAAAATATTGAAATATTTAAATCTCTGTTTCTTCTCTATTAAATATCAAAAACAACTGTCATGAGAAGAATATCATGATAAATTTCACTTATTTCAATGAATTTTAATGAATAAAAATTACCTCTTTGTGATGAACCAGCCTCTAACCACCAATCGCCGGTAACCTCACTTAGCGATTCGCATTGACCATAGTTGTCTCACCCACCAATTACCGGAAGCTGAATAGGTTAGCAGCTACCCAATTGGCTACGAAGCAATGCTTAAGGCGTGACGGGATTTTATAACAAATGCAAGTTCAAGGTTTATTAACTAAGAAGTTTAACAAATAGCCTACTACGGAGCTAAGTCGCGGAGGAGAGAGAGAGCGAGCTAACTGAGGGACAAAGCTCTTGATCCTAGAAGAGAAATGAGCATAGTAAGTGCACTGTTAATTAATACGCCTAATGACTACCCTAGCAACGGCTTTACATGACGCCAGATTAATTATTTACAATATAAGCCACCTATAAGTAAACACACACAAAGGCACAGGAACATTAACACGAAACACGGTAACGCATAACACAGTAACGGTATTCAACAGTAACGCAAAATAAGGCTCACCTAGGCGATGATCAGGTAATCCCCTGTAAGCGAGGCACCAACACGCAAGCCGGAATTGACACAGCTACTATTACCAGCCTCGGCCTACATCAGCACCGGTATACTTAATCTCTACGGTCTGAATGCAAGTAGGGAATTTGCAGCCAATATACAATATCACACTCTTGATGAGCTTTAGATAAAATATTTTCCATTGGTACATACCTAAATGAATCCAGATATATCAACCGTTTGCGGGAAAATGATGATCGATATAGGCATAGAATATTGTTGTTTAAATTTACCCACAAAAGCAATTTCGTTACAATTGAAGCGATCCGTACCTGAGGGTTATGTAATTTTCTTCCATCTCAGTAGAAATATGTTCAAAATGGACAGGGAATTTACATTGAAAAGAGTGTCAAAGAATATTGCCTATTTGTTTCAAGTGGATGAAATTGATGCACATTTACATTCACTCCAAGGAAAATTGCACAGCGGATGTGAATTTTAGAATTTTCAATTAATTAGCAAAATAATTACTATTTCGGAGAATAATTAATGGTTCGACTGTCAACTTTACATTTGCGTGTAAAAATATAAAAAAATATAAAAAAATATCATTTGCATGAAAAAATATCATACATCATGGTCAGAAGTATTGAGATCACTTGATTGCTTAAATCTCAAGTTTAACAAGAATTTAAAAGCAAGGAAAACAGCCAAAAAATTTTCCATTTCTTAAGAATGAAAACGTTTCGGAGTCCAGCTCCATCGTCAGTTCAAAACCTAAAATAAAAGTACAGACAATTAGCGAACGAAATTCACATTGAATAGCTTGAAATATATAACGCCAAATGAAAACAAATACGAATGAAGTAAATATTATCAGACAAACCTATCTATTTACCATTTCATGGGGATATGAACTGTAGGTGGCATTCAAACTATGCAAATATACAGGGACTCTGAAATTCGCAGATCAGAAACACCGGTTGTTTTGGCTAAAATTTTAAAAACACTATCGGACACCCGGGGCGTTGCACTGCTCGGCATCAACACGCATAGCTGAATGAGGGGGATGCGCAAGCAAGTTTCCTTTTCTAAAACTCCTTCCTTGGTGCTCCGCCAGCCTGGTATGAAGATTGCGAGATGTCATACCGAAATACGCCGATGTGCACTACGAAAACTATTATACGACGTCGTAACTATACGCCAGCTTTCGTATTTGCTCTACCTTCCATACTGTGCCCTCTGAATTTGGATTTTTACGCAGTACGTTTTAATTCAATGGGTTTCCGTCGCAATTTGTATATGCTCAAATTAAGAAATTTTTATCTGAGAAATATTCTATGGTTGCTCCCGAACGTGGCAGTGCGAATGCAAATTATTGTTAATTTTCTTACCTCGGTCCCGTTTCGGAGTCTATGTCTAAGGAGTTGAATGGTTTGTTCTCTAAACACCTCTCAAATGTAAATTTCCATGTATTGCTGGTGAATAATTGTAAAATCAGTTCGTTTTTCAAGTATAAAGATACACTCCATGTTCCTTTGCGATCGTCCCCTGTTAATAAATATAGTTGTCGCAGTGCACATCTGCGTATTTCGGTATGACATCTCACAATCTTCATACCAGGCTGGCAGAGCACCAAGGAAGGAGTTTTGAAAAAGGAAACCTGCTTGCGCATCCCCCTCATTCAGCTATGCGTGTTCATGCCGAGCAGTGCAACGCCCCGGGTATCCGACAGTGATTTTAAAATTTTAGCCTCCACAACCGGTGTTTCTAATCTGCCAATTTTAGAGCTCCTGTATATTTTAAACAAAAACATAGTTTGAATGCCGCCTACAGTTAACATCCCCTTGAAATTGTAAATAGATAGGTTTGTCTGCTAACATTGACTTCACTCGTATTTGTTTTCATTTGACGATATATATTTCGAGATCTTCAATGTGAATTTCGTTCGCTAATTGTTTGTACTTTTTTATGCTTTGAACTGACGATGGAGCCGGACTCCGAAAAGTTTTCATTCTTAAGAACTGGTGAATTTTTTGGCTGTTTTCCTTGCTTATAAATTCTTAATAAACTGGCAATTTAAGCAATCAAGTGATCTCAATACTTCTGACCATGTGACTTTGGAGTTTCCTGCAGCACACGTGCTAATTTTTCCCACACAGTCACTATAAAGCGTGACAGAATTTCAAGCATAAAGCTTCAGTCGACAGTACTGGATCATCATGAAGGCTTACATCCTGTGTATTCTGGTGACTTCGGCCCTTGGTGAGTGAAGCAGCTTTGAGAATCAGCTGCCTTAGAATGAAACAATTGAATGAACTAATATGAAAAAGTATGATAATCATTTGTGTAGGCTTTTGACAAGATAAAAGCAAACAATATATTATTTGAACTTGCAAAAATTCATTACTGCGCCATTTTTTTTATTTTATGGTTGGTTCATTTGGAATTGCTCAACTTCACCTATCCAATAACCATACTAAACTGATATTTCCGCAGCCGCTCCATCATCCATCCCTCGCTTCAGGAGAGGCCACCTCAGGATTGTTGGAGGTTCGTCAACCACTCCGGGTGAGATCCCCTTCCAGCTGAGCTTCCAGGACACTTCCTTCGGCAACAACTTCCACTTCTGCGGGGCTTCTGTCTACACACCTGACACTATGATCTGCGCGGGACACTGCGTCCACGGGGACAACTACGATAATCCTGTTAATTTGAGAGTAAGATTTTTATTACAATCGTTTACAGGTAATTTTTGCTATCGTTTGCAGGTCAGGCCAAATCAAACCCCAAACAAAACAAATAAACTAACATGTTGCATTTAATTGCAAGCTATTGCAATTATATAATATTTTCTTGATTCTGATACTAACTATCTTGATGTAGCCAAGAAATTATGTGGTCATTAAAATGTTTACTTTAACGGAGTGAAATTCGTAGTTGGAAAACGTCGAGCTAATGTACTCTAAGTTGGGGTTAGTAAAATTGTATTCTTCTGATTCTGTTATTGACTTCAAAATTTTCGTTTTCCAGATCGTCGCTGGTGACTGGGACTTGTTCAAAGACGAGGGCACTGAACAACCTCGTCGGGTCGTCAAAATCATTTTGCACGAGAGATACAACCAGCATAACGTCAATAACGACATCTCCTTGCTGATGGTTGACTCTCCCTTGGAGTTCAACGATTTTGTGAAGAGCGTTACATTGCCCGAACAATTACAGGAGTTCACTGGTGAGGCTCAGGTGACAGGTTGGGGCACTCTCACGGAAAGTGGCGGTAGCCCTGCCATTCTCCAGAAGGTGACAGTTCCTATTGTCAGTGACGACGACTGCCGCGCCAGTTACGGAGCACAATCAATAATTGATTCCATGATCTGCGCCGGAGAAGCTGGCAAGGATTCCTGTCAGGGTGACTCTGGTGGCCCCATGACCTGCGGTGAATTCTTTTGCGGCATTGTCTCATGGGGAAGAGGATGCGCCGAAGCAGGATATCCTGGTGTTTACACTGAGGTATCCTACTTTGTGGACTGGATCATTGCTAACGCTGCTTAATAGTCCGATAATCCAATTTTCTAAGAAAACATTTTCAATACATGACTAAAAATTAATAGTTATTAGAGTAGATTTTCCTGAAAACTATGTGGCTACAAATATTTATTTTTGATATGAAGTTCTGAAATAAAGTCGCAGAGATGGATAATAGATGCTGATAACCCGTGGAATTCTAACATACTCCGGATTGATCTATTGATTAAAGTGGTTTATAACGATGACTAGTAAAAATTTGCTGCATGCATTGAGTGTATTTTTCACTCTCTGACTAAATCAACTCATTGACATGTTGCAAATGAAGATCCCGAAGATTTAAAAAAGAACATGAATGAGTGAAATTAGTTTCTGCTGTGGCGGATGACAAAAACTTTCTCGTAATTCCTGTTCCAAAAATTTTCATCATTAGGTTGCTAGAATTGAGAGACAAAACTTAGATGCAACGGTTAATTTCCATTATGGATGCCTTGGATAGAAAAGCAAATTACTTTCTTGAATCAAGCAACTCAAAACATAGGGTAGAAGGTATCTTCTTTCAGGAAACAAGGAGTGAAGGCAGGTAATATTATAAATAATTATTCATGTAGTTAGTGAAAAATTTTCAAGATTTATCGTAATTTTCTGCGACAGTAGTAACTAAATATCCAAACCCATAATTTATTTATGAAGTTCATTATACATTAACCATTTAATACTTCCACATAACTAATAGGTACATGGTAACAAACGAATTAAAGACTTTATTTGCAGCTCTTAATTCCTTGAAAAATTTCCGGCGGACTGGGAGTTGTTAATGCAATATCAAAAATTTTCCGATTAATTTTTCCGGAAGTGCTGTGTAACATAAATTGATTCCAATTAACAACAATCATGGGTCTCAATTTATGTATGGGTGATTTAATGAAATTTTTCAATAACTTTTCGACATTTTAACACTCGAAATTTTTGATAAACGAATTCTGTAGGAGTAATTCACTCCTGTTGTATGAATTTCGTGGCAATGCATAGAAAGGAAAAATGCTGCTTCTCTATGGCTTCAATATTAAATATGGAAACTGCTGTCATGATATGAGCAGAAATGATTGAAATAGGGGGGAATAATCCATTTCGTATCGTCACTGGTTTTCCCTAAATTCATTTGCGCACCTTAATAGATAAATGAGTCAAAATATTTCACCATTTCAAGAGACCACTGTGATTATATCAGTCATTGAATTTTGACGTTTAAAAACTCCGCTTAGAATCAATTTCGTCCAAATTGAAATAATCCATAATCATGGGTACGTTTTAGGATCGAGCCGAGATTGATCTACATTATATTTAGAAAAAAGTTAATCCGATCATCAGATCGCAAGAATCATTGGTTTTCAATATATATTAAAGCATTTTTTAGGCACTAAAGAAAATTTCGGTGTTAAAATTTTAAAATCATTTTCGACTATTTTCTCAGACATTTTCACGACTACCCTATCGAAATTCGAAGACCTGTCAGCCGCTGGCACACGGACGCCCCAAGTTCTTATGGCAGGGTAAATTAGAAGCTCTATGCCCGCTTTAGGTTCCGGTTGCCGTAGCGAAATAAGCGCCGAAATGGAATCTTGTGTTTTTGTAAAGAAAGATTTCACCCCTTTAGAGAGAGAGAGGTTTTTCGCAAGAAATGGCAGGAGAGAATCAGGCGGAAAGGCGCGGAAAATCAGGTCAACCACTCTCGCAATGTCAAGACAACACCTGCCGCACAAGATCAGTTAGCGGAGCAGGAAGACAATTAAACAGTAGAAGTCATGTCCGCAGTTCCAGACCTGTAAGTACTGTAAGAAGCAACCGCATAAATCAAAGTGAAAGTGCACAAAAAGTTCTAAAATGTCTTTACACAAACTCGGATTCCGTTTTGAACAAAAAAAGGGAACTGTTAACTGTGATCTCAAACGAGTGTATAGACATTATTTGCATTACAGAAACACTCCCTAAAAATCACGGGGGAAAATTGTACCTGTTGAATTTCAGCTGCAGGTTTTGATTGTTTTCATAACTTAAATGAAGAGCAGTGCAGTAGAGGTGTAGCTCTGTGGGTTAGAACCTCCTATGGGGCCCAGCAAGTCAAATTATCTGTAGAGCATCAATCAGCTAGAGAATCAGTGTGGTGCGAACTTACTCTAAAAGGCAAAGATAGCCTTCTCATAGGGGTCATTTATAGATCACCTAACAGCTCCTCTGATAACACCTGTATACTGCGTAAATTTATTGCGAATTTTGTGTAGGCTCCAAGTATGCTGTGCTTGAAATATTGCGATCAATTGAGACTAATTGATTGTATCATTAATTATAAATTATATGGTTCAATTATGTGTGTTTCACGATATTTATATTATTTTCAAGTTGACGCCATTATCTCAAGCCATGTTGACGTAGTTGACAGCGCAGCGAGCAGCTACACGTGTACACGTTCATACTTGTTGGGTTGGAGTACATCGGCGTTGAGCTTCTGCCTCATTAATCATTAACACGTTCTGCTTGGAATACGCGTTTTCCGGGTAATTTGCTTGTCAAACTAGTATCCTCTTTACGCAGAGGGATACGAGTAAAAAATTCTGTTTTCTTTCGCTGACTTCTATAGTGAAATTTAATTATTTTGGGGAAATTTTATAAAACCGCCAGATAATTATTTTGAGTTTACGTCTACACTTCTAATTAAGTTTGTTACATTCGAAACGTCGTTAATAAACTAAACCTACTTCCTGAAATATGCCTTTCGATCTACCAACGTCATCTGAAGAATTGTCCGACTCTTTGATAATTTAAATCAACGAATTCTCTGGTTGTTAATCGCACGCGTATAAATCAACAAATTCTGCCATCTAAAACTAATTTCTAATTAAGTGGAGTCTACGTCTTTCCTACGAAAAATATTAAACATTAGGCTGCCGAAAAATAGTGACACGAAGTGATGAAGGCATTTCACGCCTAACTTTTCAAAATCATCGAGTGACAATTCGTTAAAACACGCAAGAATATACTTGACGAAAATATTTCAAATCGAGCCGCTGTTAAAATTGGTGTAATTTTCACATTATGAAACTTCGATACTCATCAAGCATTTTCCTGTAGCCTTTGCTCTGAGCTGAACCATCGTTCGATATGGATAAACGAAGTATCTTTCAGCGGCTCTTTTCTCGATTATAGCAGCATGTTCATATAAATTGGCGAATGGAACCATCTAATCACGGTGGGAGCATTAACTTCTATCATTCGACGGAAATAATATTTTCAATACTTCAGTTAAATTTTTAAAAATTACTCGACTGCCATGTCCTCTATACACGACAAGATTACGCAATTCGAATGAGATGCGTGCATCAACCGACGTCTGTACGTGACGAATAACAGTGTATGACTGCTCAAGATCAGCGCCTCTGTGCCTGCGCAGTCCGAAACTCCGAACTACCTCTCGCTGCTTTGTCTCAAGCCGCGTAGTTGATAACTAACCTCCCACTCCTTATTAGGGAGTATAAAGGGGATTGTTTTGGTATCCCTGCCTCTGAAACGTTGGTGTTTTGGTGAACACACACAATACACGCATCTCGACGTATAAGCAATGCACGCGTGTTCATGTACACATATCGCAAGGTAGTTCTCACAAGAGTAACGTTGGAGTGTTCACTGAAACGTATCGCGAGCGTCTTGACATGAACGCGGGGCATGCGGGTCGAAGACAACTCAACGCACGCGTGTTAGCACGCGTAAGGGTGCGTACACAGTGAAAGCCGGTTTGCCCGCGCGGGCAACCTGCTCCAACCTGCCACAAGAATGAACATAGGATAATAATGTAAGTGTTCACAGTGAAAACCTGTACGAATAGGCTTCTGCCGACTGCCTGCTTATACCTATTTACCGGAATGTACTGCACATTCTTATCTGCTCAACCTGCTTGGCATATGGTCATTTTTGAATTAGTTGTACCTTTAAGCCCTACATTTTCTTTGTTTCTTTGGCCCTTTAGTGGCGTCGTGTCGAGGTTCTCATGTAAACAAACAACTTTATAAAGGTGGCGATGAGTCTGCACGCAATTGGAGGGATTTTTGACAGGTAATAACACATGATGAGCATCGAGAGTGATCAATTAATCACTGTCTAATTAATTAATTAATACGCACTAATTATTATTAGTTTAGAATTATCACTATTAGTGATACTATTAGCATTATGACAATTAGTACGCATTATTCAATTAATAATCACTAATTAATTAATACGCACACATTGAAAGCAGGTTGCCAGCGTGCTGGTTTCCTGCTTCCACTGTGAACAACCTCTCGCGCTTGTTTCAGGCGCCAGCCTCAGCAGGTAACCAGCACGCTGGCAACCGGCTTTCACTGTGTACGTACCCTAATGGTCGCGTGCCGATGGGTAATCATTGCACGCGTAATGTAATGACCCTAAAATTTCGTTTCAAAATATTGTCCCAAAAGTTTTGAAGCGGTTTGCGTGAGCAAAAAAAATTCAAATTAAGAAAACGTAACGCCCACACGTAGACGTACCCGCAATGCATGAGTGGTGAAACCCACGCGTTTAGAAACTCGTGCGCCTACTTTTGCATCGTATATGGGTTTTTGAATCGGAGGCTTGTCACGCTCTCACTAAGAACTAATGCCAGCTACTGAGCAGGGCAAGCCAATGGTGGCCTGACCAGCCACTGATTTCGTGTGTCATTTGACCCTTATATTTTTTAACCATGCAACTACCCAAAATAGCATCTTTTGGGAGGCTGATTAGGGGAGGCGGCCATCTCATGTCTGATTCTTCTCTAATCCGAGAGCGGCAACCGAAAACGAACGATAGCCGCGCCTAAATTTTGACAGGGTATTTGCAATTACGTAAATTCACCAAATATGTGTCGAAAACATTTTGGAGACAATCTTAATCATCGGTTTTCGAACTAATGAATTTTCATAACAATGAAGCATCAACATCCCATACCGAAAACGTTGGATCCATAAATCCCGCCACCAGTTCTAGTATCTCGAGAAATAAATAACACCAGTGGCTGTCAAATGTCCTAACCTCAACAAAGAGCAAAATGGAACGGACGCGACCACCGAGTCTAGAATCCGCATTGAGACGACGAGAACTGAATTGTCAGGGCGATGTTCATCGGCTTCTCGTTCGGAAGGGGCGCAGTAGCTGCCAGAAGCGAGTGATGCGGGTTCCGGCCACAACAAAACGCAACTATAAATAGAAAAAAATTTTAAAATATAATTAGACAGAATCTAAGTTAGCTTATATTGGTGCTATTTAGCCTTTTTCTACTAGAAATGCGTCATTGATGAGAGCCCAGGTAACACGACTTTTTCAGGAAATATTTACCGAAAGATTCTCATTCGTAGGGAGAGCAGGTAGAATCTAATATGCACTGATAAAGTTTCAGCGACTAAATTTTCGTTCAATTTGATGAGAAGGGATTTGTTTTTCTTGTGACGAGCGATCATGCATTTAACTTCTCTTATTTGTAGGCCGCGTCTACATAGAGCAAAAAGCCGCGCCTAGCTACAACCTTATAACAGATACTGCAAAATCAGGGATATAGGTTTGGGTAGGGGCAAAAATATTTGCTGAATTATATTTTTTGGATTTGGTAGACCTATTAAAAATACCAGGATAGAAAAAGAGAAAGCGCTACAATAATACACTTTTTATCATCAGTACAATTTAATAGATTTCAATTCAGGCGCCAGATTGTAATTTGAATGAATCATACTTAAACAGCATTTATTTTAATCCAGTCAAGATCGTTCCCTCCTGATCAAGGTTCCCACATGATCGTTGTGCTGGTAGGATGTGCACCGCTCGCGTGAAATTTATTGCCGCGGGCCTGAATTTACGTCGGTTTTTGAGTTTTGAGCTGGTAGTGCTATTCTCAAATCTGAGCTCACGTGTCATGAATCCAGTGAAGTGATCGTGGTAGATCAGGGATTTCATTAAGCCGCTAGGAGTGTGGAAGCCAGTTGGAAGTTTTCAGGACAGCCTAATACTTCAAAATTTTGTAAATATTAAATTTATTGAAAAAAAATCCGATTTCAAGTTGAAAATCTATGTAGTTTTTCTTCGGTAAAGAAGTGAATCAGCGATAGCAAAGTGTGATAGGCACAAATATCTAGATATTTAAATAAAATAGAGTAAATCCATTTGTGACTCAGATAGTAGTCAAGTGTGTAGGAAGTGTGCATTCGAGTCCAGGCCTGAACTAAAATTTTATTACTTGTATCCGATTGTCAGGCCGTGCTGCCTGCCGCGGCCAAAAATTTCTTACCGTAGTGTAGCTACGGCAAGACTAATTGATAGATGGGGAGGCCTTTTGTACTAACTATCCATTGATATGGTGAATCTTAAAAAAACGAATTAGTGCAACCAGATAAACGAACTCAAAATTAATATAATACGGCCTTATGGCAAAAAGTGTTGTGATTGAGCCCTCTAAGGGAAGTTATTGTGCAACCTGCCGTTACTCTTGCAAAGCACCATTAGCCGTTTAATGTAACAGATGTCGTTTGTTTTCACACCTTCAGTGTACCGAGCTTCCGCTTTACGTTATCGTAAGACTTGACCAGACCAGAGTTTTATATGAATGCAAACATTGCTTTCTGAATGAATGCTGAGATAAATACAACGTGAGTAAAACAAAGCTTCAGTCAGCCATGAATGTCCGACATACAGGCATATCCAGCGACCTTCTCCATTTCTCCCCTTCCAGCCTTATCCCCTCTCCCTCCCATGCTACCTCCCCTCTCCTCTCCGCCAGCCTTAACCCTACCATAAGCAAAAAACCCCACTCCAACCCCTACCCCTGCTCTGAGCCTCACCCCTACCCTCGCTCCCTGTACTAACTCTACCCCTACCCTTAACCCGATCCTTAGTCCTACCCCTATCCACAAAATTACTTCTGACCCCACTCCCCTCTCCCCTGCACGAACCCCTGGTGCTAGCGTTGCCCCCAACCCTACGACCTATACCACGGCCTTGAACCTTCTGGATTTGGAGATCGGTTTGCCATCATCTTTCACAACCTTACCCTCCTCCCAAGAAGCCTATGTACTCTCAGGCAGGCCGTGAGTTAAGAAAGGTGATTGCTGGAAATACCTTTAAAATAGATGTGAATACGGGAAGAACGGTGAAGGATGCACACTCTCACTCCCTAGAATGTGTAATAAATTTTTTGATTATGGAATCGGTCATCTCATAGGGTGCAAAAAAGGTAAGGATTTCCCCTTCTATCGTCCTACGCTGTGCTGGAGTATCCTGAACAGAGAGGATTGCACCAAAGAAAACTGTCGTTTCCACCGCATCAAATGAAGAAAAAAAGTGGAGAAAAATACAATAGAGCAAGAACCAATGTCATGTCCTCACAGAAAATGGCGATGCCCACCGCACTGCACGCCCCTCGCGCTCAGGGAAGACAGAGCAACGCTGAGAGAAACACCGTTGGAAGGAGCGATGATGCACGGGGTGGAAATGAACGGAGTCAATGGAGAAGGGACAGATGACTTGGCTAGCGTGTCGGTAGTCTTATCCGACATTACGGTCGATGCCGTAGCTTATTCCTCTGTATCGCAACTCAGTATTACCACCCCGTATACAAGATACGTTATCTGGACTGATGTGTCTTACTCGTCCCTTACTTCCTTAGTCACGTAATCCGATACTCAGGTAGAGCTTAATATAATGAGTTCAATGTTTGAGCGCAACCTCGAAAATATTTGCAAATGTTTATATTACTGTAGTGAGTAGAACTTGCCTCTACTATAAGAGGGAATTAATGTTATTTATTCTTCGATGATTTTCAGCCAATGAGAGAAAGATGCTTAAAGATTAAGATTTAATTAAATAAAATTATTATAATCATTATGGTAGGAAAAAAGCTAACCCAGATATTCCTACATGCATATGTATTCCGGGTCGAAATCTTTAATTTATAAATTTCAGAACGATCATTGATTTAACTGATCAGCGAATGTCAGGATCGTAAATTTCAAACTATCGGAAGTATTACCCAATAAAAGCTCGGAAAAAAATTAGGATTTTTAAGAGTCATACATGTCGTTCGAATTTTAATATTTGTACTCCGGACTCCAGAACAGATGTGTGAAAAGCGTAACTACAAAAAAAATAGCTAATCTCTGTCAACGAATTGAGTCTGATGTGCCGGTGCCATACCAACATTGTCACATTTTGATTAGGCAGAATTGGCTTTAATCCAGTCAACAAAATAAGACACTTGTGTGTAGACCCCCGGGTATCCAGCCTCGGCGCATCCACGGCCCCAAGACACCACCCCACAGAGGTATCCGTCGCAAGTCATGGGACCGCCTGAGTCTCCCTGACAGGAATCTTTACCTTCTTCACCAGCGCACATCATGGAGTCCTTCACAAGGGCTAATTCGCCGTAATCTTTTTTGCAATCTTCGTCACTGACAATAGGAACTGTGACTTTCTGTAGAACACTGGGAAGATTCCCCCATTCTGACATCCTACCCCATCCTGAGACTATTGCATTCCCTTCGAACTCTTGGTGCAGCTCAGGCAGTTTGGCGGGTTGGACGTAGTCATTGAATACCAAAGGTGCGGCTACCTTTAGCAAAGAGATGTCGTTCTCGACTGTAAAAGGATCATATTTCTCGTGCAATATGATTTTTATGATGTCCCTGTTTTGTTCAGTTCCTTCATGGGTATACATTTTATTCTCTCCAGCCACGATCTGAAAAAAAAATTCATCAAATAAAATTACCACAAAATTGAAAACTTTCTTGCATGAAATGAAAATTTGGAATGACAGCCGCAGATTATATAAGTCTGTCTCAAATACTGGTGATAAATAAATACTGGCGATAAATAACAACTTTATTTGGGGGAAAAACCCGCATCAAGCATCAACTCAATAATCCTCCAAAACCCACCAGATCCCTGACAGTTTTCTTAATTTCCCATTCAACCCACATCAACCATCTCAACCAGACCCAAATCGCTCGCATTGCGCCTTCTTTGTCTCCCAATGTCGTTTCCATTTATTCTCATTTTTGGCTAAACAGTGCCACCACCGGCTTTCTCCTCCCATTTCCATGGGCTTGCACCACCACCGCCATTGAAATCAATAAATTGCCAATATCTTACCTGTAAGTTTGTTGGGTTGTCGATATCGTAATCATATACACAGTGACCGGCACAGATCATCCAATTTTCGGAGTAGATGGAAGCGCCGCAGAAGTGGAAGAAGCTAGCAAATGTTACCTCCTGGAAGCTCAGTTGGTAGGGAATTTCCCCTGGTGCGACGTCGGTGCCGCCAACAATCTTGTTCTGGCCTCTCCTGAAGCGAGGTATGGTGGACGGAGCCGCTGTGAAAAAAAACATTGAATCTAATTTTGAACCGAATTCTGTCTTGTTTGACGCAATCACAAAAAGCTATTTCATATCTTACTTTAACACAGATTTTCTTGGTGTCTGTAACCTATGGAAAAATTCTTTATCATGTTGAATGATAATTAAAAAAAAAATTCAACTAAAGAAAAAGTTTAAGGATTGTTAGGGGTTGTTAAAAACCACTCGCTTCATTTCCTGCTGCAATATCGAAATTTATCAATTTATTGTGATGATTTTTCATTAAATAGCCTGGTTGTCATTTCATGTGGGTATGGTTTTAGGTTACAATGTTAATTTAGGGCTGGCTGAGATAGTACTTATGAGCCCCCACAGTGTAGAACTTTGGTCTAACTATGCAGAAAATCTTGGTTCATTTCATTCTGTCATCGAATGGATTGTATTGGTAATAAAACTGCTAAGATTGACTACACTTGAAATTTGTGCATTATACTGAAAAGTCAAAATACCATATAATTGTTATAATATTCGATTATACTTTTCAGATTACCAGAGGCAGACGCTGCCATGAGACAAAAAAGAAGAACCTTCATCATGAATAGATTGTGTACCTGCGATGTGATCTCCATTGTATCATACTTCTTTTATACTTCAGAACTCAGTATGATGAATGGGGAAGCACTCGGCCGCTTTTAGCAGAGGGCTTCTATGCCACTTAACATACCGTATAGTAGATAATATTTCCCAGTCTTGCTATCTGAGCCGCAGGTGACGAATGGAAATCGTTATCCATGTGAAGGCCTAGCGAATGTATATGCCGTAAGGAGGTTTATTTTCGAGTCGCAACGGAAATAATACTAATGTGCCAAATCTAACGACACGGTAGAATGAACACATGTAAGACTTGCGTTCGCGGGATTTGATCTTTGTAATAACGCTGCGTTGAAAGAACGTACGTACGCGCTACGAATAAATAGCTCATTCTTAACTATCGCACTTACAATAAGGTTTTTTGCGTTCATTTCAGAAAGTCAGATATTGATCGATTGGAACGCGACTCGAGCATTTGTACAGTGAGTGTACCAAAACCAACAAATATCCCTTAAACCTAGCATTTCTGGTCACAATTAAGCACTTTCATTCGTTAATTTTCGCTCATGTACGATAACATTCGCGGAAGACGCTCCGTCAACATTCAAGCTCAAGTCGAATAATGTTACACTGACAATAAGTTTGAGCACCAATAAACTTATAAACTAGAGAAATACGGATAAGCAGCGAATTGGATACTGCTGGACTAAGTTCTCCTTACCGTAACTCAAATAACTACACCATAAATCCACATGAGATAATACCTGACAAAAGTACGTAATTGTAATTTATCAAGCGTTTGACAGCTGGATAGATTTAGGTACTCAAGAGCTATGTATGTTGACCGAACTACTCACTACTAAGCTGAATCTGATTAAGGGATTAAGGTAACGTCAGGCAAGCACTGAATCGGCCGATCATGGGATGCAAGGGGCAAATATTTCACCAGAACATAGTGCATTCGTTTTAGCACTAAGAGCGATTAAGTTGTATAGTATATGAACAAAACTGTATTAAAGAGCTGAGCAATAGTAGCTTACCTGACGACATACAACGTGAGACAGTGGTATGGAAAATCGTAAATTAAATTTTTTAAGATTTTTCGCAAATTCTAATGTTTAAAATTAAATTATCCATCTTATTTAAGGTAAAGAATGAATTCATTTCTCGCTCTACTTTTAATTTAAAAAGAGGTAGAAAAGGAGCAATGAAAGCCACCGTTTTTCCAGCGTGTTTTACCTTAATTTCCCCTTTCCAACTTATTCATCAATCTAATATTTCTAATCAATCCAATCGTTCACTCCTTGATTGGCCCAGAATATTCAAATTTAAATCTTACATTGCTTCTCTGCGACAATTACTAATTCGAATTAACGCATGCTTTAATTAACTATTAAAACTCACGGGGCTACTTTCTTCACTAACCTTACGCTGCATTACTTGGCTTCAGCCTCTTAAGTGGTTCACTATTAAACAACATGACCCATTCATTAATCTGAGTGGAAAATATTTAGTAATTAGATAATAATAAATAATTAAATAAGTGGATTTTTCATTTAAGGAAATTATTTTTTCTTGATTGGCTATTGAATTATTATTAATTCCAATTATATCGCAGGTAATTTGCAAATTAGTTAATTGTTTTTCCTCGTCGGCAGCTATTCAGACCGTATTTCTTTATCTGTCTGAGAACAACCAGGGGCTACGGGTCAGCTAATTCAGACCGTATTTCTTTATCTGTCTGAGAACAACCAGGGGCTACGGGTCAAAGAACATGAATGTCTATGGAGTGTTCGGTCAAAGGAGTCCAAAAATCGAAATACAAATGATGTAAGTTATTTTTACATGACGTGCTTAGTTTATGTGATTTTAGCAACTCCTGACAATTTATGCATTACCGTTTAGCGATCTCAAAGGATGATGTAATATCGGTACGAATATTGGAGCTTTTTATTTAAGAATAGACTATATTTTTTATAAACTGTATGTTTTTGAATGTGTTACTTCTCTAATTATGATGCCTATGCTGAGTTCTCGTTTACAAATGGCATAGTGCGCAGAATGACGGACCGCAACACACCCGAGAACAATGGCCCACAGCTCAAATTCGGTGACATCCATCCTCATTGACGTCTAGGTGGCAACTAGTGTTCAAAGCGCGCGGTCTCAAACTACCGAGTACAAAAGTAGTGTAAACGGTTGTGCGCGGTGAGGCACTGCAGCAAACGACTCAAAGCGCATGTCGTTGCCTCTAGTGTAAACGGGCCTTTACGTGCGACCTTCCCGTACATGTCACTGTTAGAAAAATTACCGTTAACGGTATTACCGGCGTTTCAGTGGCCGGTCGGCACGTGAAAAGAAACACCGTGTCGCCGTTTTTATTCTAATTTAACACTAGAAATCCGTAAAACATCTGATAAAAACGGCAAAACGGTTTTTTTTTTCACGGGGCGACCGGCCACTAGAATGCCAGTGGGACCGTTTTTCACCGTTTTTTCTAACAGTGGTGCACGATGACGATGCTGCTGTTGCTCCATTTCTTTATTGAAAAGATTGAAGACGAAACCTTGTCCACACCATTCACCTGGAATCAAGAAGTGAATCTCAGACGTCAAAGTTTGATCCATAATTTCTTCTTTTAAATAAAAGTTCGATAATTTTCTACTGGCAATATTTGTTTTCATAACCTTTCATAAAATCATCTACCATGTTCACTAATTATTCACTAAAATTATGGTTTTCATCAATCACTACGACTTTAAGATGAAAACTGCCCCAAAACAAAAATGAAGGCTAGCGTGACTGGTAAATGAACGTTCCGTATGAACTATTGTAAGTATTATAGTAAGCTGCTTATGCTCATGTATCATGTATGCTAATGCTCATGTATATAGGCTAATGCACAATACGGCGTATTGTGTGTAAATGGAGAAGCCATGACTATTACAGAGAAATTTAAAAGAAATATCTGAACTTACTGATGCATTTTCATTGTAAATTTCTCAATTTATCTCACTCTTGTTACTGTGAACCAAAGCAATTTTATTGACAAATTGAAATTAACTAATAAAAATAAGAACGAATAAAAAATAATTCAGTAAATTATTTCTCGGGATTAAAATGCATTTTATGAAATTTAATTGTGCTGGTAGATGGCATTCCAAAGAATAAACTTCTCTAAGAAAGCTTCCTCATTTGTGTCCTCTCGAATATTTTCGGCTGCTAACTAGCATGTTCTAATGTTTAATAAAATTTTCACTCTGCAGGTCTGCCAGAGGGCTTTCAATTCATAACATGGGGGCTATCGTGAATCGCCCTTAAATGTTCGCGAAGCTCAGGCGACTAGATTTTCATAGAGTGAGAAAATTACATGCAAAAAAGTTCTGTAATCTGAGCCATAGAGTACGTAGCAAACAAAAGCCGGACCGATCCTAAATGAGTCAATGTGCATTTCAACGTATAAAGCCCAATAGTGGTAATATTTAATTAATATACGTATATATCAGATATTGATTTAATTACCTTCGCATTATCAACTTCAATTGCACTGTCGTATCCGAGTTGGACCTCATCAATTTCCGAGAAGGCCTTGAATTGGCAAGTGCATGCGTGGGAATTTGATTCATAAAAACAATGTTGTAGACTTTCCGATCAAATTATAATCCCAGCTTTTACCCTCCACAAACGCCAGTGATCGACATTCAAGTCCAATACTATCTTCAAAGAAGTAAGGATTTTCAATGAATAAGCAAGAACAAGTAATGTAATGAACAAAAAAAATATGGTATAATAAACCAAAAATATGGATGATAGGAGCAAATTTCTCGTAAAATTACTGAAGCGGAAAAAAACCTACCCACCAAACATAATCGTGCGTTTCAATCTTTCATTTACTACCAATGCTTCCTCTAGTGTCAAGAGCTCAGTCTAGAATCGAGCGATTGAGGTATTTCTGTAGTGAACAAAATAACGTTATTTTAACCCAAGATAATTAAAAAAAGTAATAATAGTAAACAAAATGTACCCACTAATATTTGATATGAAACGACCCAATCTACTCCAACGCTAAATAAACACTAACATTATAACAATGATTTCAAGAAACTCACCTCATGCGCAGCAAGATAACGAGAAACAGTGATGGTTAAAACGCATCACTCGAGGTCTCCGATCTTTAAAAACTAAAATGACAAAAACAGAAATCCTAATAAATTGCAGCTCTTAATTATAGTTATTTATAAATTAAAACTATTTCCTCTATAATTTTAATTATTCTCAATGCATTAATGAAGGCAGAATTAACTAGGAGAAGCTAAAGGAACTAGTGGATAACGTTTTAAATAAAAATTACAGCAGTCCATCCGCGAATTCAATGAAAATTGGTGAAAGACGTTCGGCCAGTACGTACAATAATTTGAACCAATTAAATTAACATATAAATTAAAGCAATTACATCAATATCCTTAAGTTTGCCGAAAACGTCCATTTACAATAAATTTAAGCGCAAAGTTATCAGAAATTCTAACACACTCAGTCATTCTGAAACCTCTCAATAATAAGATTAATTTCCGATCTGAGTTCAGTGATTTTTCAGCTGAGGCTATTTTTTAAATAAATGTTTAGCATCGATTTTTGTACAATTGTAAACATATGTAAACATTATACATTACCAGATTAATTTACTTCTGGGATGCCAAGAAGATTGTATGTGCTTCTTGTGATAGTTCGAACAATCAGTGGGTGTAAATTTTTCACTGGTTGGGAAGCCCGGCTCTCACACGTTGGTTGAGTTGGACTATACGTATTTATTATCATGCTTTGATAAATATAGCGGCGGTCTCAATATGACAATTTCTCACGCACTTTTTTTATTGTAAGTCAGACATACCCTGCACTGCGGTGCTCAGGTTAAAACGAAATAACAAATAAATAAAAATTACATATTTTAAAAACTAAATTACTAGTTTTTGAAAGAGTATGAGCTCCATTGTTAAATACGTTTGCCTTCAGACCTTCATAAGCATGGAATTCAACATTGAGTGTAATTAAATTAGAATTTATTTCTCCATTTTGTCTCTACATTATTTAACAGCTTTTTGTTACTCTAAATTGCCTTAAAGATGCGTTTACACGCACAAAAAATACAGTTGACGATGCTGATTTAAACACATCTTCTTGTTTCAATGATATACCTTGGAAATTCCGAAAGATCGATTGCACAAAACAACAAGATACTGTCGGGGCCTTATCATTCTTGGTTGAGAAATGAGCACGCATGGGATGCCATCAAGTGGGTTTGCAGCTGGTGAGAATTCCCTTGATTTCGAATAAAAGCTGCAGCGCAGGCACGCATCGCTACGTTTTGTCTGGTGCAGGGAACGATCATCATGAAGCTGCTCATCCTGTGTCTCTTGGTAGCCTCGGCCCTCGGTGAGTGAAATGTAGTGACTTCAAATCGTGAACTTTTTCCAAACCCGAAAAGTTCTCTTCAGTTTTTGAAATATTTGTCGTGCTATAATTTCATTGTGAAGTTGGTCAAATTCAACAACAGCCTAGTACAATACAATACAATAGCCCTTTATTCTCCGCAGAAAATTAAGCCGAGAGAAACTATATAAGCGAAAATTTCTTTGCCAATAATCAAATCTATAGAAGGTCATAATTGATGCAGGCTTGCGGTATGAAAAAATGGATCTTGAATTGAAATCTATCTTCAGGGACAACTTTCCTTTAATAACAATTCATTCATCTTCGAAACTGATTGATTTTATTGTAGCAAACTAAGGAAAGATTCCCATATAAGCGAGCCGAATTTTCATTTCTCGACCGTTCAAAAAATATTCATTTATTGTTTGGACGACTTTAAAGTTTAAAGAAAAGTGTTAAAGTTTACCAACTTAAAGTATAGCTGAATTTTAAAGTGTTAAAGTTTACCAACTGAAAATATACTATAAATTGATTTGGTCATCGTAACATTAATCTAAATTTAATTAAGAATTTTGATATCACTAAAGCGAGCCGCTAAAACCCTTTACATTCATGTCCTTTTCTGCCTGTCACTGGATCGAAAGAAGTGAAATGGGGCTCACATTATTAATTAATGTTTAGCAATTATTGCTATTGGCCAGAAAAATGAAATAAAACGGAAGAATATTTCTCGCTCAATGACTAGAGTGTGTTGAATTTTTTCTCGGTGAGTCACCGTCTTAAGAACAAACACCTCAATTGGGGAAATGATATGCGATATCTGAAATTCTGTTGGAGAAAACGATTTTCACTTAAGATGACTCGAGTTTAACAAACAATTCAATTTTACATGCGGCAGTATATAGCTTTCGCGATTACATTGTTACCATTGTTCAAAATCAATATTATATTATTAAAAGTTTTGAAACCTTGTAACATATGATTTATTGATTACCGTCGTCGCACTTTACACGTTTTCCTAAGGTGCAGGCAAGGACGCAATTTATTCCGAGTTCGCGCGTCTTCATCGTATCTGTGTTACCAGGTATTCGAGTCGAGGTTTTTCTCATGCATAGTTTCGTTCACTCAAAATTCAACTGGATTTAAATACATACGTTTATTTCAAGTTGAGGTATGAACGAGTGATTATTTTTCCCTACTCCTAATTCCAATTACGGAACACTCATCATAATTAGTAACTCAAATTGAAAAATTATTTGGATAAAATGAAAGACGTTCATCTTCTATTGGTTGATAAGTTGATGACAATTGTCGATAGCTTGATGGTTCAATGCGCCAAACTAGGTTACCTTGTAGCGTCAGGTTTACCTATTAATTGATACATACAACGAGGAAAGACATGCACCATAGTTAACCATTACCTGCACCATAATTTTTTTCTGCTCTGACTAAGCTCGGGCATAAGAAACTATTCAGGCCTTAGTGAGTAATAATATTGTTTTACGGGTATCCTTTCTATAGCATGGGATATGATTGGCATTTTTACGCCCGTCAAATAATAAAGTAACTATATCCTCTGCCTTATGTTGGAACTTATTTCGAAAGATTATAATGAAGTTTATGAAAAATGTTGCAGGTTATTAAGTCGTTACACTGGGCCAGATTCATGTCGTATTTTGTTGGAGATGATTAATATATATCCTAAGTAAAACCATACAATGTCAAAATTTTAACGAACATTTTCGTATTTATTTCGTTTAAGACGAGTCTTTTTAGTATGTGTTTACAATTTCAAATCGAAAATACTTGTTTGCAGCGGCGCCATCAACCATCCCCCGCTTCAGGAGGGGCCACAGCAGGATTGTTGGAGGCCAGGAAGCAACTCCTGGTCAGTTCCCCTTCCAGCTGAGCTTCCAGGACACTTCCTTCGGCTTCAACTTCCACTTCTGCGGAGCTTCCGTCTACACAACTGACGTTATGATCTGCGCGGGGCACTGCGTCGATGGAGAAAACTACGATAATCCTCAAAATTTGAGGGTAGGTAGAAATACATTACAGAGTTCATTGGTAGATCGATTTGTTCTTTGTTGGTTAATTTTGGAGCAGTTTTTAGAACCAAAATCTTCTATGTACTCATAGCCGGGATTTAACGCAAGACTACATACTATATGGTGTTTTCGGTCTACGTGGTTAAGCAGTCAGGAAACAGCAGTAAATTGGCCAGCACAATTGGACACATGAGATTAACGTCTGTCGCAGTTGAATTCACGTAAAAATTTGATTTTTAAAACTCATTTTCGAGGATGAGCTTAATTTGGTAAAGATTGGTTCAACATCAAATATGCTAAACACCTCCATCTTAACCCGGGTGCTACGAGGAATAAAGCAAAAAAATCGTATGACGAGGATTTTAAAGTGACTGTGAGTTAAGAGATTAAGTGAAATTAGTAAAAAAAATTTCATCATTTTACGATCTTTGTTCTATGGTTATCATGACCGTTTCCTGGGTACAAGAGATTTTGCTCACAGTACTTTTTCTTAAATTCATCGTGTTGTTCCGTCAAGAATGACAAGATTTAGATCTTCTATGAACAAGTCACAAAAAGTTCAAAATTCGGCGACAGGCCACATCAGGCCTACTCTTTAGCGCAGACATCACTATGTTATGTCATGTTAATGAGAGTAATTTTTAAAGCTATGACACGAGCAGTATGGCGAACGCCGATGAATTTCGGCAAATTATTTCTTCAGGAACTATCGCCCAGGTATAATTGAGGATTGATGATTATAGGAATCACTGCATATTTTCATGTTCACATCAAACTTTGTAGAATATTACTAATATCCGTGATCTTCATCACGAATTGTGATTGCCTGCTTCTATAACTTCAGTCTCACAAGACAAGAAAAATTCTAATTGGGCAAAACTTCTAATTATAATTACTTGAAATTATTAAAATTAGTTAAATTGAATTATTCATTAGATTAGTTCACAAATTTAAATAAGTTAGTTAAAATTATACCTAAACTCTTCCTAAATAAGTGAAAGTCACATTACTTCATTATTTACAAATAAAAAAAATTCAATATAGCTAATCGAACAACATTTTCGAATGCACACATCCAACACCGTATCTTATGCATTTAAAAGTTTTTCCGAATTTTGAACTCCAATTTTCATATTTACAGATCGTTGCTGGAGATTTCAATTTGGCTACCGACGAAGGCACTGAGCAGGCGCGAGACGTAACAAAAATTGTCTTGCACGAGAGCTACAACTCCGGCACTTTTGAGAACGATATCTCATTGCTGAAAGTTAGCGACCCTCTTGTCTTCGACGAATTTGTGTCTGGAGTGACACTTCCTGCTCAGCTACAGAGCTTCACCGGAGACGCCATAGTGTCCGGATGGGGAACTTTGACCTCAGGGGGTAGTTCTCCCGACACCCTGCAGTGGGTGACAGTGCCCATCGTCAGCGACGAGGTTTGTGATGCGGACTATCTACTTTCGGATATCTACCCCTCGATGATCTGCGCTGGAGAAGCAGGCAAGGACTCCTGCCAGGGTGACTCTGGCGGTCCCCTGACATGCGGAGAATATCTCTGTGGAATTGTCTCCTGGGGACGTGGGTGTGCACAAGATGGGTTCCCCGGAGTGTACACCGAAGTGTCGTACTTCGTCGACTGGATCCTCGCTAACGCATAAGCCGCAGTGTAAACTGCAATTACCGAGAAAGCAAAGCGGCGCCTCCAATGTTCTTATGGTATCAAAGAAGACGAAATTTATCTCATAAGTTCTCGAAGACCAGCTGGGATGTTGAAGATACAATGAATTTGCTCCGGTAATAAATTTCACGTATCGCTCGGATTTTTTATTATCATTCAAAAGAATTTAAGAATAAAATTTCATAAACTAATTGTGAGTTTAACTACATTTCAAGTCGTAAAAGTCGACTCTAGCTATTGAGTTAATTCTTTCGAACAAATATCCATTAACAATTTACATACATTGTATAAATTATTGAATTATTAAGCAAAATGTGGCATAAAGTGCTTGATTCTTAGGAATTCTAAGCATCATTAGTTGTTTGGTAAACCTTTCATCATTTCCATTTGTGATATAATTTTACCAACATTATATAATGTTTGAAATTCACGCTTTTGTGTAACAAAAAAGAAAATATTTTTGATAGGAAATGTTTGTCCAATACACAAATCTTCGCCTAAATAGCTAAAATGTATACTAGTTTAAATAATGAATCAAGAAATGCAATAAGTGAAACTATAAAGAGGCGAAAAGAAATGTAATAATTTTATTCTTGAAAGATAATACCAAGATGAAATTGAAGCGGGAAAAATTTGACTTTATTCAAATATGATAAATATGAGGTACTCATCTTGCGCACACCCGCGTCCCCAGGAAACAAATTTAAAATAGATTTCCGTGTGTTGAAAATAAAATAAATAGAATGAAGGCGTAAATAAAATGAAGACAATAACAAGTAGCACACATGAGCATGATTGTGAGGGTGAATATTTTTGTTGCCTGGACCTCTTCTGATATATCGGTTATAAATCGGTTATGATACCGTGCCTCGACAGTGAAATAAATGAAATAGAGGAACAGCACCATTTAGGAACAAAATGAGATAGTAAACAATCACTGCTATAGTAGGCATAAAAGTTCGGTCCCTCGGCTACACAATTACAAGTAAATGTTGATGAATCACATAGACTAAATTAGGACGTGGGACAATAAGTTCTCTCCTGCCCGTCAGCCAGCGGCCTCGGCCTGCTCGCACGTACCAATCAAGTTCGTAGACAAGATATGCGTTCCGTCACGTGGACGTTATGTGTTGGTGCCTGGTTGCTACCACAGCGCGTCGACGCTGGTAGCGTGAAACGTCAATTCAGAGTCATTTAAAGAAAAAAAATAATCGTATTTCTTCAACTGAAAGTGAACATGTTTAAATTATGTAGTAGGTAGAATGAGAAAAAGTGAACAACTATAACATAACATAACATATTGATCTCGGCGCTGAAGTGTAGGCTTGATGCATGTGGCCTGTCGCCGATTCTTTTTCTTTTCGTGCCTTGTTCACAGAAGATCTAATATCGTTTCATTCGAGCGTAGCCTCTTGCAAGATATAACATCAATCGATGTGTTGAGTACCTTGCTGCAACAGTCTACCACAAATGCCGTGTCATCCATCACTCGGTCCTTCGCATCAGATGCGTTACTTTCAGGAATCCCAAACGAGACCAGGTTGGCCTTCCTACGTTCTCTATCAAGCAATTCACGTGAGCTTTCACCAGCGACTTTAGATAAATCAGCTGTCTTGTTCTTTACTTCCATTTCTTCCGTATTTTTCAACTGAGCCTTCACTTCAGTCAGCTCATTGCATAGCGAACTCAGTTTATCACTCAGCGAGCGCACCATCTCACTCAAGGAGTTTACTACATCATTCAACAATTTCGACTCATTGCCGTGCTCTTCCACCAACTCCTCTCTTTTTCGAGCACCAAGAGTTGTTTTTTCGCAATCACGGCAAAACCAATGAAGCAATTTAGATTTCTGGAGAAGTGAGTACTCCTTAGAGCTCAACTTTGAACAGCTGATACAAATGAGATCTTTGCATCGTTCACAGGTGACCGTCTGGACTTCGCTCTGAGAGATCACTTTTCAGTACTTGCAAACTTTCGTCTCTAGCTGGGCTGATTTGGTTTCATTTTTTTTCTATAGACCGTAGAGGGCTTTACGACTATCATTTTTATTTTCTGTCCAGCCATTGTAAAATGCACGAACTAGACCTTTTGAACGGAGAAAACTTCAAAACTGAGTTGAGTTGAGTATAGTAAAGTTCCCTCGATAATTTGGACTGGCGGAACAGCCGAGGTAACAGCTGTAGCTGGCGAGAGAAAGGCAGGGGTGAGCTGGGGGGAGTCAAGGGAACGACGCGACAGGCCGGTGAGAGGGGGAGGGATAGGGTGAAGGTAGACAGTGGATCAGAACAAAGGTGACAGCCTGCTCAAGAAATTTAGGCCCAACCGAACGCCAAGCGTGCAGCACTGTGCCCTCACAAGCTTACCCTCGTTTCTTTACAAGAAAAAAAGGGAAACACTTTTTATTCACTTCCACTCTTTATTCGCATTCTCTTTCACTGACTTCACTAAAGTCTTTTTACTGAAAGGCTTCAGTACAAAATGCATAAATAGTGGTAAACCGGTATAGTGCAAGGCCAGTTTTGAGCCCGCGCAACACGCACGCTGTCTTAAGACACAGCTAAACCGCGACTCAATGATGCAGAGGGTGATGCAGAGGGTGGTGAGGTGGCACGACGCTCAGATATTAGAGTTTGATATATGAATTAGAGAATGTCTCCAATATCATTTTAGATGTGAGGCATCCGCTGTAATTTCATGCAGTTGGTCAGCCTCGCCAGGGCAATTGAACCTGGAAGCATTCATTGCTCCAACAGACATGCGCTCGCATCATGATTCGTTCTGCAGATAGTGAGGTTGAGAGGGAGGGCTGGTGGTCATGTTGGCAAAAGTGGTGGTGAAGGACCTGGTGAGTGAATTTTGGAACTTTTAAAAAGCCAGCGATGCTTTGTGATGTCTGGTGGGAAATTGAGCGTGTTGAAAATCTGTTCGATTTGTGATTTGGTTGTGGTCTAGGTTTTGTGCGCTTGTCGATGGTAGACTATTTGTGCCGAGGGATCTCGCATTGTTTGTGCAGTGTCTGTGAATATTTTTACTGGACCATTCAATAAATCAATATACAGCAAAGCCTACAGGGCTGCTCCAACTCCCCAACTAGTAATTCCACAGAGATAATCACAGCATTTCATTGTACCGCAGCCGTCTCCCGAACAGGCCTCCCGAACCAGAATATCCCAGTGCCCCCTACATTTTAATATAAATATCAATAAACTAAA